TATCCTACTGACTCCCTTTATTTTTTTTTTCTTATTTCTGTGTTACGGTCAGTTGCTGTAATTTCTCACTTTGTTTCCTTAGCTCCTGTAAGGTATTTCTGTGCATGGATAATTTTTTAACTTGATATTACTGCAAGGAGAAGAACACCGGGAAATCCTATTCCTCAGTCACTGATATCCAGCTCCTACTGAATACAACTCATCGGCATCCCTGAAAGAGATGTGGAGAAAACACGCAACTTGGAAAACATGTTGTAGGATATTGTCCATGAAAATTCCTGCAGCCTCATTAAGGTGGCCAACATTCTAAGGAAATGCAGAAAGCTCAAAGATCCTACATAAGAAGATCATCCCCAAGACACGTGATCATCGGATTCTCCAAGATCAAAGTAAAAGAAAAAAATGTTAAAGGCATCTAGAGAGAAGGGGCAAGTTACCTACAAAGAGAACCCCTGATACCAGGCTAACATCAGACCTTTTAGTAGGAAACCTACAAGCCAAAAGAGATTGGGAACCTACATTCAGCATTCTTTTATTTTTTGTTTTGAGACAGAGCCTTGCTCCGTCGTCCAGGCTGGAGTGCAGTGGTGCGATCTCAGCTCACTGAAAGCTCCGCCTCCCGGGTTCATGACATTCTCCTGCCTCAGCCTCCCAAGTAGCTGGAACTACAGGAGCCCGCCACCACGCCCAGCTTTTTTTTTTTTTTAGTGGAGATGGGGTTTCACCCTGTTAGCCAGGATGGTCTTCATCTCCTGACCTCGTGATCTGCCCACCTCAGCCTCCCAAAGTGCTGGGATTACAGGTGTGAGCCATGGCGCCCGGCCTTAACATTCTAAATGTATATTTATTTCTTTTAACAGCATCATGTATGAGTAAAGTATTTTTTATATTGTATTCCTCTACCAGATTTTTAAATAATTAGAATGTTAGTTAGAAACAATCTATGTTGGATTTTAATTTATTCTTTTCTCCCAAATGCCCTTTATAAGCTCATGAATATAATTAGCAAATATTAAGTAATTGACATATAGCCAATTTTTGCTATTTAGAAATACAGATAGATATGGATTTTACTTATATTAGTCCTAAATATGATAATCAAATATATAATTTACACCTAAAATTGCATTCAAATATTTTTGGTAATTGTTAATGCCCAGAGCTAAAAATGCTTGTATAACTAACTTTATATTTTGATGCAATGTAATGGTTATTTTGTTCCATGCTGTACCCGACTCCAGACCAAACATTTTTGTTATTATGCACTGAATGAGAGGGATGAGGAGGTATTTAAAATTTTCTTCCGTAATACACTTTAACATATTCGGCTTTGTTAGAAAGTGTTTGCATCCGGTGATTGAGACTCCAAAGCCAACACTGCCATTGTTTGAGGTTATATATATTTTCGTTCATTTGTTTTTGTTCTGTACACTTTTGAAGCCAGTGTTATCTACAGCTATGAAAGTATTTTGCCTATATAATTCTTGCAGAAAGCCAATATATTTAAAACATTATCTCTCACATGGCCTGCCTTGTCATTTTTGTCCATAATTAGTACCACAAATTACTTCTAATTACTTAAAGCTAAGCAAAATATCCTGCCTGGTGTGTTTATAAAAATACATTTAAGATTTGTGTGACTTATTTCTATGTTGGAAGATATTAAAGAAGAAAAGGTAAATATTTATATAAAACAGTAACATATAGACACTAAAATGCAAACTATATTATGGTCAGCAGTCAATAGTTGGTATGCTACTTATTAGCTTCTTTAACAATGTAATTACTAATTAGCTTCTTTTTTCTCTCTTTCTTTATCTTCTTAATTATTTGTTAAACTTTTATTTTAGATTTGGGGGTAGATGTGAAGGTTTGTTACATAGTTAAACATGTGTCAAGTGGGTTTGTTGTACATATTATTTCATCACCTAGGTATTAAACTCAGTAACCAACAGTTATCTTTTCTGCTCCCCTCCCTGCCCCCACCCTCCCGTGTCAATAGACCCTAATAATGTCTGCTGTTTCCTTCTTCATGATCATAAGTTCTTATTATTTAGATCCTACTTATTAGTGAGAACATGTAGTAGTCGATTTTCTGTTCTTGCCTTAGTCTGCTAAGGATAATAGTCTTTAGCTCCGATTCGACTGTTTCTAAACCAAAAAACATGTTGTCAAAAATACATACATACATACATACATACTTTTCTCAGCTCTTACCAGAACTGTTCAAATAATACTCACTAATTATCTACAATTGGTTTTATAAATTCGGTACAATTTCTGTTCAGAAATAAAGGTACAAATTCTTCAGACATTTGGATTAGTGCTTATATGGCTTGGAACCTTTTATTAGCTAATAATTCTGGGAGCTTAAAATACTTTAATGAGTCTTAAAATATAGACACTATTAATTTTTAGTACTTTGACATTTTGAAGATTATAATGCACATGATTAAGGCTAATTCAATAAGATAATTACACATATAATTTGCTTAATTGAGATGGATGAGTGTTGGAAAAAGTTGGCTAAATATAGGGATCTCAAATTGAAGATTACGTCTGTTCAGTTGAAAATGTGACCCTCCTAATATAAAGCACAATTCTGTCATTTTAATCTAGGATTAAATTCTGCAACTGTTTCCTTTAACTGTAATTTTCCATGTCAACAATTTTTTAGCAAATTAACAATGCATCTTTTTATATGTAATTATTATTAGTATTGTTGGCATTCATTATATTTAAACTGGTTATTAATATAAACATATTAGAAATGCCAAGTTTAATATCTTCAATTAATCTATAAATCATACATATATACTTCTTCATTTAATAATTGAGACATAGTTTTTAGGAGACACAGGACTGAGCTACTATGCTATTGTATGTATTTAGTTTAAAGTAAGTATCTTAGGCTGGGGATGGTGGCTTATGCCTGTAATCCCAGCAAATTGATTGATAAGCTGAGGTGGGAGTATTGCTTGAGTTCAGGACTTTGAGACCAACATGGACAGCATAGCAACCCCCTGTCTCAACAATAAATAATTAAAAAACTAACTGAGTGCAGTGGCATGCACCTGTAGTCCTAGCTAGTCAGGAGGCTGAGGTGGGAGAATTGCTTGAAACTAGGATTTCAAGGCTGCTGTTAACCATGATCGTGCAACTGCGCTCCAGCCTGGGCAACAGAGCGAGACTCAGTATCTAAATTAAAATAAATACTGAGAAAGTTTTTCTGTTAATTGAAAAATTATACTTTCATTATCTCTTCTATAACTTCTGTTTCTAATTCCTACAGAGTTGTAGACTATATTCAAAATTTGATTATCTGTTCACTGGCAGATTGTCTAGCAGGTTTAAATGTGGAAGGTAACCACACAATTTTTCTATGACATACCCCAAATCTCACTATTAACTGAAAGAGAAATTTATCACATTTTCATTGTATAAATCAATATTGAATTATTATTGTTAGCTTCACTTCTAGACACAGTGGGATAATGGTGCTAGGTTTACCTTATTATTGTAAACAATGATAGCACTGAACAGATATGAAAGATGACATTTTTCAGGCTTTCTACTATAGTTAGCACAGGTCTTAGATTTTTGAGAGAAGGGAAATACATGTCTGAGCTTTCATCCTACAGCATTTTCTGACTGCAGAACAAGGGTATGAAGGCCAAGTGGAAAGCAGCTCTCTTGAGAAGCTGAGGAAATAGAAATAGAAGTTTGAGGATGGTGAATTTTGGAATTTGTCAAGCATTATACCACAAAGGAGAGAGCTACACCCAGATAAATCTCCAGAATGTCTGTTGTTTCTTCTAGAGACCTCATTGAAAGCTTGGCTATGTGTTATGAGGCTGAAAGAAAAAGAAAAAGAATTACTGCAATACCAACTGCTAAATAAATATACTAGAGATTTCATGGTGTTGGAAATTCTAGACTTCCAACCCATATGGAGTAGAGATATTCCCTTTGAGATACCCTATATTCTATTGAGAAAGCAAGTCTATGGTTTAGAAGTATAGATTCACAGAGCTTTTACATAAAAGGCCAGCTAGCGATTATTTTAGGTTTTCATGGCCATATGATCTCCATATCAACTACTCAGCTTTGAAATTTTAGTGGCAAAGATGCTACTGATAATTCATAAGCAAATAGGCATTGGTATGATGAAAAAATATATTTTAAAACAAAACTAAACATAAAAACCAGATTATTTGGCCTGTGAACTTTAGTTTGCCTACTTTTGTTCTAGAGTATTTGCCAAATTCTAGGAGTGAGGACAAAATTAAAATAGAGTTGCCCTAGAAAAACACAAAATCAAGTATGACATTACTAATAGAGGCCTCCACTATTTTAACTGTATCTCAAAACAAAATGCAATGCTTTTTAAAGGACAGTAATGTAACACCAGTTCCCTACAATGTATAGTCCACAATGATTGGCATAAAATTAACCAGAAACATTATACATGCAATGAATCAGAAAATATAACTCATAATTAAAAAAAAAACCATACAAATAGGCCTGTGGTGACTCAGATGCTATATTTTAAAAATAACTTAAAACTGACAAATAAATATGTATCTGACAATTTAAAGCAAAGGATGCATATCATCAATAAAGATATGTAAAAACAAAAGGAAAAGGACACATAAAAATAAAATAGGACTTTTTGACTGAAAATTATAAGATCTGAAATTCTAAAGGACATACATAAATTTCAGAAAATATTCTCTGACCACAGTGGAATTGAATTTGAAATCATTGTTAAATAAGATGGAAATTATTGGTAAATAAATATCAATGATCTCACTAAACATTTGGAATTTATTATTTTTGTTTTAACTTTTAGGTTGAGGTGTATATGTGCAGCTTTGTTACATAGGTAAAGATGTGTCTGGGGGTTTGTTGAACGGATTACTTCATCAACCAGTTATACACCATGGAATGCTATGCAGTCATAAAAAGGATGAGATCATGTCCTTTGCAGGGACCTGGATGGAGATGGAGGCCATTATCCTTAGCAAACTAATTCAGGAACAGAAAACCAAATTTCACATATTCTGACTTATAAGTGGAAGCTAAATGGTGAGAACACATGATGGGAACAACACACACTGGAACCTATCAGAGAGTGGAAGCTGAGAGGAGGGAGCAGATCAGGAAAAATAGCTAATGAATACATTTGGAACTTAAATAGCACATTTCTAAATAATTTTGGGATAAAAGAAGTGGTTATTAGATATTTAAAAAGTGGATATATTTTGGACTTAATGATAATATGTAACATGTCAAAATGTATGTGATACAGGCAAAACCATGCTTAGTGTCATAATTTATAGTACATTTAAATGCTGTTAGAAAAAAAAAGATATTTAAAATTAATAATTGGCATTTCTACCCTAAAAACTAGAAAATAAAAGCTAATTAAGTAAATGGAAAAAATATATAGAAATAATAAAATAATAAAGTAAAAGCTAAGTAAAAGGAAGAAAAAATATAGAAATTATTTAAATAAATATAAATTTTAGTTTTCAAGGTATAAACTAGATTCAGTATAAAAACAACAGCAAACTAAATCTTGGAACTAAAGTAATATTTTTTTCTCAAATATTATGTATTAATTTTAATTGAATAATAGAATTATTCAATGACTGGCTATGATACAATAAGTTTAAATTTAATTTTAAATTGTATTATTTAAAAAGTTACTGTTTGTGTAATATTATCTTAGAATATAGACAGGATATATTGGTCTTCTAAGTTATTAAATTCTCTTGGATAATTTTACATATACTTTTTTTCTCAGATTTTTTTTTTAAGTTTCTGCTAGTTGAAATAGAGAAATGTAGAATAATAAACAATAAAAATGGAGTGCATTAATTACAAAGGTAAGGACTGTGGTATCTAAGAAAGCAGGAAGTGAAATTATATGAAAGAGTAAAGCCTTTTCAAGTAAGTTTTGCTGATTCATTCTCTCTCTCTTTCTCATCATCATCGTCATCTATCCCATAATTCACTTGATAGGTGAGGACTGCTCGTTTAGTTACATATTAATGTTCTATTGTTGCTGTAAAACATTACTACCAATTTACAGGCATAAAACAACACAAATTTATTTTCTTACAGTTCTGAAGGTCAGAAGTTTGAAATCAGTTTTGCTGGACTAAAATCAAGTTTTCCACAAGCTGAAGTTTCTGGAGTCTAAAGCGAGGAATCTACATCCTTGAGTTTTTCAGCCTCTAGAGAACAGGAGCATTCCTTAGCTCATTGCTCCTTCCTCCATCTTTAAAACAAGCAGTGAAACGTCTTCTGTCTTCTCTTGTGTTTGGTCCCTTCTTCCCACCTTAAATTCTCTCTTTCTGACTTTAATATTTCTCTTATAAAGGCCCTTGTGATTATATTTAACCCCAAAATATAATCCTGGATAATCTTCCCATCTCAAGACCCTTACCATAATCACACCTGCAAAGACCTTTTTTTAAAAAAAAATGTAAGGTAAAATATTTACAGCTTCCAGGGATCGGAGTATGGATATTTTGGGGTGCCATTATTAAGCCTACCACAGGTCACATAATGTGAAGATTATTGGTGATCTAGAAAAAAACTAGGATGGGACTTGATGAGACAAAGTGTCCAGTCTGAAGGCAGATTAAGGAAGGAGAGAATTGTAGCCATTGGATATAGAAAATACTGTTCAGGACATTTGATGAAAACCACGGAAGGAATAATTGAGTACTCATTGGCAGAAGTGCCATTAATAACTTGTTTTCCTCTTTTAATTTAAAATGTGAAAAATAACATATTTTGTTGATGGGCATAGGATAATAGCAAAAACACTGATGTAAAAGTAAAAGAAAATAGTTTCTGGAAAGATTTCCTTGATTGAGCAAATGAGGATTAAAGCATGAATAAGAACATGAAAAGTATATTTACGGAAACAGGAAAGTAGAATGTAAGAGACAGACGACAGCACATGGATAGATATGAGGTTGACAGTTGAAAAAAGCCTTTGCCCAGTTCCGTCAGTGAAGTAGGACCTGAGTGTTGTTGAATTATTATAGTGGCATGTAAAATGTTTAAAACAGTTCCCAAACTTTTCAGCACCAGGAACTGATTTCGTGGCAGACAATTTTTCCATTGACAGGGTCGGGGGGATGGGTTGGGGATGAAACTGTTTCAACTCAGATCATCAAGCATTAGATTCTCATAAGGAGCTGTGCAACCTAGATCCCTCCTGTATGCAGCTCCTAATAGGATTTGTGCTCCCATGAGAATCTAATGTCCTTGCTGAACTGACAGGAGGCGGAGTTCAGATAGTAATGTGAAATCTGTTGGTGCAATTTTGACTTCTGAAGAGGATGTACATTACTCATGTGTGCATACTCCCTTTATCACTTATGGTGGGATGTACTAATTAATGCTACTATATTAAATGATCTGGGAATCTAGTATCTTATGTTTTGGGTCTGTATTTCTTTCTTTCTTTTTTTTTTTTTTGAGACGGAGTCTTGCTCTGTCGCCCAGGCTGGAGTGGTGCAGTGGCCGGATCTCAGCTCACTGCAAGCTCCGCCTCCCGGGTTTACGCCATTCTCCTGCCTCAGCCTCCCGAGTAGCTGGGACTACAGGCTCCCGCCACCTCGCCCGGCTAGTTGTTTTGTATTTTTTAGTAGAGACGGGGTTTCACCGTGTTAGCCAGGATGGTCTCGATCTCCTGACCTCGTGATCCGCCCGTCTCGGCCTCCCAAAGTGCTGGGATTACAGGCTTGAGCCACTGCGCCCGGCTGGGTCTGTATTTCTAATGCGAAAGTTATAAGAGAAATGTATGAAGTAATGGAGTTAAAATGGTAGAAGCAAAAGCATCATGGCATAGTTGAAGTAATGTGGATTCTTGTTGTTTCTGTCTTTGGAAAGTCATCTACTATAACAAAGCATGTATTTTGTCATTTTAAAAATAAGAATAATATCTAACACATTGAATTTCCATGAGAGTTTATTGTGATAATCTGCTAACAGGACTATTACACAACTGTACCATTCCATTTTCACGCTGCTGATAAAGACGTACCTGATACTGGGTAATTTATAAAGAAAAAGAGGTTTAATGGACTCACTGTTCCATGTGGCTGAGGAGGCCTCACAGTCATGGCAGAAGGCAAAAGGCACTCTTACATGGTGGCGGGCAGGAGATAATTTGTGCAGGGAAACTCCCTCTTATAAAACCATCAGATGTCATAAGATGTTCATTATCACAAGAACAACACAAGAAAGACCTGCCCCCATGATTCAGTTACCTCCCACCTGGTCCCTTTCACAATAGCTGGGAATTGTGGGAACTGCAATTCAAGATCAGATTTGGGTGGGGATACAGCCAAACCATATCAACAACCATGCACAAAAATAAATACAATTAAAACCAAACTCATTTAATATCTGGTCCTTGTTACTATTGTTGTAAATAAGTTTATTTTGTTGTTACTCCTCTGGTGGTGGAAAATAATAGGTTGGGAATACATCCAGCACTAATTTCATATATATTTTGAGATCAAATATATATACAGCTATATAGAGATTATATAAATTTATATATAATATACAAATATGCACGTGTACATGCACGCACGCACACACACACACACACACACACACACACACAGGCGTGTTCTGTTTCCTAGACTAAGGATTGCAGTTATATAACTTCATGCAGATCTTCGATCAAATTTGATTTTGAAATATTTTGCCCACATAACTTGGGAAGTTGTTTTGGACATCTTAAAACCTTTACTGATGATCTAATCATCTGATTAACCCCAGCTATGATAGTAGTTTTGCTTTTATTTTTCAGCCCAACTTCAAATCACTAATTAATGTAATTAATACACATATTTAAAAAATCAAATTAAAATTTAAAAATCTCTTTTTGTGTAAATAAAAGAAAATAACTGGTATCATTGAGATAATTGTATAATTATTTGTATGATAAAATATATAATATACAAATATATCTAATCAATATAAAGTATTTCTTTACAATAAGTGTAAAAATAGCAGCAGAATATTACCAGTTGTGATGGTAGTAATAAATTATGATAAACCACATGACTTCTCCCTTCTTCCTTATGAATAACATATAAAGAAATCTAAATTATGCTTGTTAGAAGTACATGAAAGGAAGTAAATTTCTGTGTATGTCTGTACATATATACATATATATTGAAACCATATATGCATATGGATAAGTAAAGAATAGCATCTTTAGAATAAAAAAGATTCATGGCTATAAACATTTATGAAATGGGCTGCACATTAGACTCTCAAAGGGAAACTCATGAAGCACTATCTTTGAGAGTCTAGTACATAGTCAATTTCATGAAACTTTGTAGCCAGTTACTGAAATACTTTTGTTGTAATTTAATCATTTTCACTTTATAAAAATACAAAGGGAGTTGGTGGGACTCAACTGAATAATAGTTTGTTTCAATTGAAATCTAAACTTATTTATGGGCAAAATAACCTAAATAGTTCCTCCCTAAAAATACACACTATATATAGCCTCCATAACACAACATGAGCCAAATAGATTTATTTTTATAGGTTTATCCCAGAATATTTCAAATGGAGAGTAAACTTCAGGGCAGCATAAACACTATGTGAATCAGGAATACACGTTATTCCATGTAGTAAAAATAAAAAAACAAAAGTTAGGGAACAATAATATTAATAAGATTTCTTAGATTATTGATTTTTAACACAGAGCAGCTAAATGCCGTTGTTTTGGGAATACATTTTTTATCAAGCAATTACATATTTTAGAATTTTTTTTAACATTTTATAAACATTTCAACCAAAGACACTTAGGTTCTATTAACAAAGAAATATTCAGATTGTTTTTCCCCTAACAAACATGAAGACATGTGCGTGAATAAACTATTACTATTTTATGTCTACTTCTTCTTCGATGTTTTAAAATCAATAGTCCATTTTCTACTAAGATGAAAAATAAAACTGAATCAGCATGGAATTTAATTAAATATTTACAAAACTCATCTATGTATATTATTTTGTTTTATAAGAAAATAATGAATATTCTAGACAAATATGATATTTACTTAAATCATCTTCAATTAAGTGGTGTTCTACAGAAGTAATTTACTTAAAAATAGTTTACTGCTGTTGTGATTTCTAAGGGCACATAGAAATTATTACTTCTGGAAAGTTTGGGTTTATTTTGAGAACAATATGAAGACATACCATTAAAAACATTGTAGGGAAGCATAGACTGAATTTTCAAAAGCATAACAAAGTGTGTAGGCTAGGTAAGAAATGGGAAGCACGAATCACAATTACAAAACAATAGACTAAGTTGATAGAAGTCTTAGGGGCTGATGGAATGTGAGGTAGAAAGGGAAGTTTTTGGTTTTCTTTGATTTTGTGCCAAGGAAAAAATTCAGAAGGAATTTTTGTTTTCATGTAAAAATCCCAAGAGAGAATAAAACCAAAGGTACCTAATAATGCATTCAATTGGGTTAGCGGCTAGGAAACGAAATCAGGAAGTTACTTGAAGCTGCATAGCACATTCAGACTCAGAGCATATGCTCCAAAGGAAAGCTGCTGCTTGCACAGGCAGGGTCTGCCCGGGATACATCACTCTATGCCCCAGTTAGTAAAATGGAAATAACAATGTTAATTGATCATTGGGTTCTTTGAGGATTAACTAAGCTAACACTATTAAATACTTAGAACAGTACGTGGCAGATTGAAAACTCTCCTCAAACCTTAACTTTTCAATCCAAAGCACATTGCTTTCTTGACTAATCTGCTGCCAAGCAGAGAAATCATGGGGAGTAGTAGGGGTGTTAGTGAGTGCAAAGTCTACACACACAAAGTTCTAGGGATATAGAGCTTAAATTAAAGAAACCATAAAAAATGGCTGTGCCAAGGGTGGTAGATGGGCATGTGGCATTTGTAGAACATATTGGCCTACATATCTTCAGGAATACTGTTGGTAAAAGCTTGTTACTTCAAAGCAAAGTTTTAACCATTGCAAATAGGTATTGAGAGAACCCCAAATGAAGAAATAAGTACTCTGATCCAAATTAGCAACAAGCAGGCAGAAATGATTTGACAGACATGAGTACATAATAAAATATCAGGAGAACTTTGAGAGTGAAAGGACAAGAGCAAAAAATAGAACAGATAGACACCTGCATATACACAGGTATAAATCACACTTGTGATATGTGTGTGTACATATGCATACACATAGCATATACTACAACATATTTCCATACAGATAACTGATAACCTGTTACTGTATTCAGTTAATCACATAGGTGGCTCTTAACCCATAGAAGTGATATGATATTTTGACTAAACTTTCTGCTGCCAGCATACAATACATAACATAGGCAACTCTAATTAATTAATGCTGGTTATGGACTAAAGTTTTTGTTTGTCTGTTTTGGTTTAGAAACAAGGTCTCACTCTGTTACTCTGGCTAGAGTACAGTGGTGTGGTCATAGTTCACTGCATCCCGGAGTTCCTGGGTTCAATGGATTCTTCCACCTCGCCTCCCAAGTAACTAGGGTTACAGGTGCTCACCATCATGTCCAGCTAATATTCTTAATTTTTAGATGGTTTGTTTTGGTAAAGATGAGGTGCTGCTGTATTGCTCAGGCTGGCCTCTAACTCAGCTCCAGTGACCCTCCTACCATGGCCTCCCAGACTGTTGAGATTACAGGTGTGAACCACTGCACTCAGACCATTTTTATAAAATAAAGTTTAGAGGGTATAATAGATATCCTACACATTAATACATACCAACAACCAGGTTGTTGTAGAAAATAAATCATAGGTAAAATAATAAGGCAATTGTCTAATAAATCATATTTCAATACAATTATATACAAGTATAAATATAGGAAGCATAGAAAAAAACTATTACTAACAAACCACGCTGTTTGGTCACAATGATAAATTGGAAATGTTCATTAATGTTGTCTTCTGTGTTAAGTATCTGCTAAATTTCAATTATTTGTGTGATAGGTGAAGGAATATTAGAGTTTGGGGCAAAATTACTAAAATTCCCAGATTTTGACAATCCGAGATTATTATTTTTCAAATATATTAAGAACAGAAACATGTCAAGAACATTTTTCAAAAGGTCAGACTCTAGCCTTAGCTTTTCAGAATATATTAATTGTAAAACATCACTAATGGGTTCCCTGGTTGACTGAGCAACTGCTGGATATACTATTGGACAGATGTCTTAGTCCCTGAGAGTTATATCTGTATCATGTAAACTTATAATGAGTAATGCCCATTTTCTGAACTTCTATACCCATAGGTAATTAAATGTCTTCCTTGTTTATAGTCTGTTTCCTAATCTAAAAGGCAAACTATCTGGCCAAACATGCAATACCACCTAAACTGTCTTCTACCTTATTATTCTAATGACCCCCATGGTTTTTTCACAAAACACTACTTCCTATTTCTTTCATTTACATCTGCTCACCATTCAGTTCCCTGAGTCATAGTCATTGTACATGTTTCACCTTAGGATGTATAAATTAGACCTTTTTAGAGTATGGTAATATAAAGGCATCAAAACAAATGAAAGCTAAGAGGTAAAAAGTGTGTGTGTGCGAGTGTGTGTGTGTGTTTTGGTATTTTGGAGATGATGTTGGGTTTCTTACAGTGAGTCTGGGGTTCTAAAATGTAGGAGAATGTAAGAAATTGGGAGAATGTATAAAAAGCATAAACTCACAGAATTCTATTTTTACTTTTGTACTTATTATTATATATTTTATACAGTACCTTTACAACAGCAATCCCTTCATATGTCTAATAAGAGTTTATATATTTAAGCTCTGGCTTGCCCTTTCTCTTCACAAAAGAACTCTTCTTGAGAGAGAGGAAAAACGCCTTCTTCCAGTCATCTTCTGACCTTCTAAAGACTTCCTCCTGGACTAAAATAACTGAACAGGACTTCCAAGATTTCTCTTACCTCCTTTCAACAGGTACCATACTTATCTTAGAATTGCTTAATGCAGAATGTTTTATAATGTGACCTAATTATCAGAATCCTTATTTGAATTCTTAAGTACTTTTTATACCACAATAATAAGAGAAAAGTTCTATTTGTAAGGGTATTGCAAATAAAGGAGTGGCTTTAACAATTCCATCCACCCATCTCCACCCAATATCCCACAGTAGGGTGTTTTTACTGAGCTGACATCCTCGGAATGCATAGGTGCTAAGGCAAGAGTCTTCCTCAACATTAGTTGATTATGGCCCTACATTTCCTTTGTTTTCCTACATAATACAGAACTGTAAGGTATATGAAAAATTCCATGTTTAATTGCATACAACTCAATTGATTTTCAGAAATGGGATGCACTCATGTGATTAGTAACTGGATCAAGGAATAGAAACTTAGCACACAGAAGCTCATCTTTCCACCCATTTTTTTTTTACTTGATATAAAAAAATACTAACATAATGTACTGTTTTGCATTTGGCTTTTTTCATTTAACAATGTATCATAAGATTTAGCCACATAACTATGTGTAATTATAGATCATTTATTCTCCTTGCTACACAGTATTTCTTTGTGTGACTATAGCACAACACATTTATCATTCTTCTGTTGATGGACACTTGGATATTTCCAGTTTGAATCCATTAAAAATAGTTTTGCTTTAAAAATTATAGTGCATATCTTTTTCAAGAGACTTAATTGTTTGAGCGCATAGTATGCATCTTTAGGAAACTATGTGAACACATTTACTGGGGGTGTATCCTATGGAATTGCTGGACCAGAGGATTTGCAAATGCTTACTTTTAGTGGATATCATTGAAAAGTTTTCTAAAGCATTTGCAGTGCATGAGAGTTTCAATTTCATCACAAATTCAAAATTTGATGTGATTGTTTTTGTTTCGTTTCAGCCATTTTGGTGGGTGGAAAAATGATGTTGCATTATTGTTTTGCATTTCTTTTAATAATATCTGTTTAACTTGGGAATATTTTCAAATATTTATTGATTATTTGCATATTCTCATCAATGGAGTGTGAGCTCAAATGTTTACCATTTTTTCTGGGTTATTCTGTTTTTTTTTTTTCTTTTTTAATATATATGCAAAACCTTACCGAACAGCACCCACAACTTCTTTGAAACTATACATTTAAGAAAACTGATTTTTTTTTAAAGTTTTCTTTCTCATCAGTGTTATAACAAAATTAATTTATTTGAGGTCCTGCTAGATTTTATTTCACTTAAAGTTACAGTTTCTAAGAACCTATCTACAATGCTAAGGGAAGACATGCAGTATATTATGTAAATCTTTTGCTGAAAAATTTATTAGAAGTATCTTCTCCCAATTCCTGGATGCCCTTTTACTCTGTTAAGAGTTTAGAGAGAAGTTTTTCATTTGAACATAGTATAATTTAGTTTAAGTTATCATTTTTTCTTATCATTGGTGTTGTCTGAGCCCCTTTCGGAAAGCTTATCTACTCTATGTTCACAAAGACACTCCCATGTTTTTCCTTTATTGTTTGTCTTCGTATTAAGATCTTCAGTTCGTGTGTTTGTGTGTGTGTTTTAAGAGGGTAAAATAAAGATCCAGATACATATTATTTCACAGATGACTATACAATTGAGCCACTAACATATCTTGAATTCTATTTTTTTACAACTACACCACAGTGTCACCTTTGGCATAAATCATCTATGTATATGTGCATCTGTTCCTCTACTTTATTCTGGGTACTTGGTCAGTATGACTATTCTTGCACCTACACTGTCTTAGTAACAGTAGATTATGCTCTCTGTTAGTTCAAATCCTTCAGCTTTGTTCTTTAAATAACCTTCTCTATTTTTGTGCCGATGGAATTTCATTTGTGATTATTTTAAATCTGACATCTTTCCATGTTAAATTCTTCAAACTGTAGTCATTGTGTAACCCTCTCTTTATTTGCCTTTTTATTTTACTTTTAAAAATTATGCCTCAGTTGGGAGGTTTTGCACAATTTTTTTTAAAAAAATGTTCCTAGATATTTTGTGATATTTCAATACTACTCAAAAGTTTATCTTTTTGTTATTATAAAATTAAAATTTGATTTATTGCTTATTTACTGTGTATCTAGTGATCTTCTCAAACTGGTACGTTCATTTATAAATTCATTTATAAACTTGTTTGTGGTTACTCGGATTATCTTTATTTACAATGCTATGACATACCTGATGATAGTTTTATTTATTCCTGTGTCTTTGTTGTATGTACTTGCATGTTTTCCTAAATTTATTTTTACCTTTAGGTCAGGTAAAGGCTACTTGTATTATTTTAAATGGAAGTGTTAGTAGCAGTCATCTTTGTCTCCTTCCCAACCTCAGAGAAAAATATTTCAATAATTAACCATTAGGTATGATATTTACTGTATTATTTTAATACTGCTTGTTTTGCGAATACTCTAGACTACTTAAAACAGAAATGTTTATTCTGCGCCTACTCAATCATGTTTTTTCCTCTATTTTTACTTGATGTGCACATTGACTGTTGAGTGCTTCATCAAAGTTGCTTTCTAGAATAAATCAATGACATTCTATTTACATATCACTGAAACTAATTTACTAATGTATTTGTTAGGATTGTTTGCTAATGTTTATGAAAGAGATTGACCTATCATTTTTCTTTGCATACTTTTTGTCACATAAAATAGTTACTGGTCATATAAAATTAGATGGGGCACATTTCTTCCTTTCCTCCTTCCATAAAATAAGCATGTGCAATTGATACTATTTCTTTCGTAGAATTTTGTGATAATTCAACAATGAAGTTAATTGAGGTTAGACTTTTCTTCATGATATTTTTAAACTAGATATAGTTTCTTTAAAATAAAGAGCTATTCTAAGTAATATATTTCAATAAATTTATGTCTTCCAAATATTTTGCCAATTTTTTTTGGAGAAAAGTTTTATTCTTTTTCAAAATATACTGTCTTATTTACATATTTAGACTCTTTAATTTTTCCATTGTTGGCATTGGTGGATACCTTCTTCTACATTTTTTCCTAGATCTGTCTTCCTAGAATTTTATTAATATTATTAGACTTCTCAAATAAATAATTTACATTGACAATTTTCTATATTTTGATGTTTGCTTTCTCTTTATCTTCTGTTGTATTTATTGGTCTCTTACATCTTTATTTAGGATTTATTTTCTGTTCCTTTTCCAGAAAAGTGAGATACCATCATTATGCTTTCTGTTACTATATAAAGTATTTACTATTTTTAAATACTTTATATAAGTGAAGCCATGTAGTATTTGTCCTTCTGTGACTGACTGATTTTACACAGCATAATGTCACCTATGTTCATTCGTATTATCAAAAATGGTTGGATTTTTTCGCTATTAAGACTGAATGATATTCCATTGTTCATATATACCACACGTGCTTTGTCAATTAACCTATCAATGGGCATATGCCTGGTTTCTACCTCTTGGCTATTGTGAATAATGCTGCAATAAAAAATGGGAGGTGCAGATAGCTCTTTGAAATTCCCATTTTAATCATTTTGGATATGTACTTACAAATGAGATTGCTGCATCATATGGTAAGTCTTTTTTTAATTAATGAGGACCTTCCATATTTTTTTTCATAGTGGTTGCACTATTATACATTTCCACCAAAAGTGTATAAGGGTTTTATTCTCCCCACACCCTTGCCATTGAGTATCTTTTTTTCATTTGATGACAGCCATCCTGAGAGGTATGAGGTGATAGTCATGATAGTTTTGATATACCTTTCTCTGACAGTTAGTTAGGTTGAGCACCCATTCATATACCTGGCGGCCATTTGTGTGTCTTCATTGGAAAAAACGTCTGTTTCCGCCCTTTATCCATTTTTAATAAATAATTTATGGCTTGAAGGCATTTTCTCCTACTTAGTAGGTTGCCTTCTTACTCTGTCGATTGTTTCTTTTGCTGTGCAGAAGCTTTTATTTTGATGTAGCCCACTTGTCTGTTTTTGCTTTTGTTGCCTGTGCTTTTGGTGTCAAACCCAAGAAATCATTGCCAAGACCAATGCCAAGATTTTTCTTTATGTTTTCTTCAAAGAGCTTACAGTTTCAGGTCTTATACTTAAATCTTTAATGGATTTTTTAGTTTATCTTGGTGTATGGAGTAAAATGGGAGTCTAATTTCATTCTTACCCATATCCAGTTTTACCAACACCAATTGTTTAAGAGACTACCATTTTACAATTGTGTGTTTTTGACACCCTTGTCAAAGATCAGAAAACTAGTTTCATCATGTTTGGTCACATCACATACCAAATTTGTAAGGTGTCTAAATGCAACTAAAAGTAATGTTAAAAAACTGTTGTTAGCTCTCACATGGCATTCTCGCACTGACTGGTTTTTCTGCATTGGCATTATTTCAATGATGCAGACATTTATTGGGCAAATTAATATACGTTCTTCTATCCATACTGAATTTATTAAAAACATATTTTCCTGTACTATTTTCAATGTGCCATGTTGAAAATAATAAATTTATTTTAAACCTTTATTTTCTAAGCATTTAATTACATTTTCAATAAAAAATGTATTTTACATGGGATTAAAACATATTTTAGACTGATTTGAGATTTAAAATATTATGTTAAGTTTTGATGTGATATCAGAGGACTGTCCTATTTTAGCTTAATAAAGTAATAATCTGTCATGTTTCTATTCATAAGTGCCCTTGGTAAACAGGGGAAGTTCTCAGTATCTTGTAGATTCTCTGAGATAAGCGAGATGGGAGAAGAATCTGAGAGATTCAGACTCCTGATGCTGAGTATCTTGGCCATAGAAACATCTACTCAAAGAGGGGATGGCGAGGAAGAAAGGAAACATGAAGCGGAGACTTTAGACTATCCATAGTGTTACATAATGCACTGTGTTGGTGACGCAGGCACATACAGGATCCAATGGTCTACCTAGCAATGACTCAATGACTAGGCTATGCAAGATAAGAGATTGTCAGTAAGTGGGTGCTTTCTGGTTGTTCTTTGTTGTATCCTGACAATTTTCTTCTAAAGTTCTCCTTACTATGATAATATTTGACTATTTCTGTACTCACAGTGATTTAAATACTAGACTTATAGCTTCAGTTAACATTATTTATATAAAAAATATTGCTCTGAGGGGTACTTTGTTGAATTGCTTAAGTTGTAAATATGTTTAGCTTCCTTCTAGTCTCAGAATGGCAGAAGTAGTCTATTATTTTCAGAGACTCTTAATGACTAATTTCGTCGTACGCGTTCTTGATTTATTTAGATAAACTTCAGCTCACGGACTCTTCTTTAAGATTTGAAGGATCATTCAAAAGTTAAATGACTGAAGAAACTAATAAATTAAGAAAAGAACTGACGTGGATATTAAACTCTTCATTGTTTAATATTAAACTGTTTATTGTTTAATAAAGAGTTTAAATTATGGAAAAGACAGAGTATTTTTCTTTTGTTGTGCAAGCCAGTATTTCCCTGGGTGCATTTATTTTTCCTGGAGGATTTTATGTAACAAATTGACAACTGTTTTGTTTTGCTTTGTTTTCCTCTGTGATTAGGCAACAAAAGTAATTTGGAATATTTGTGCATCCTTTCAAAGAAAAGGGAGGATAACAAAATGTTGCCATATAGTATGACTACTGAAATTTTAAAAAAGCAAAGTTTTTAGGGAAAAATATATTGTAAATGATTATAAAATGAAAGAATACACTTTTTGATAATAAATAAAATGGAAACCTTAATTTAATAACAAAAATACATAAAAAATGTTATGACATTTGTCCTCCTCACTCTCGAGGACACTTGGCCTTTTCTCTCTTATTACATGTTGATTAATTTGCTCAGAATCAGACTGAAAAATCACTTTTCCCATGAGTTAATTTCCCTAGTGGAATCCAAGGTCATATTTGAAATCAATTTTTTGTTACATTATGCTATGTGTTGATATAGCTTATATGTCAAACTTTCATTCAACTATTTTCTTTACCTTTATGTATATATAATTGTCACATATTCATACTTTTTATAGTAGGGTATTTAACTTTTTTGCAACTATACAGATATAGGGATCAAAGATACAAAGTATAAATTTATGACAATCTAGAATGGTGCTAGTTACTTACATAAATCCAGGTAGTTCTTAAGTAGAGCTTTTGGCAATGATTTGAGTTTATTATTGGGACATAACTTTAGTTCAAGTCTCTATTTCTATGGTTGTTGTCACATATGTGTTTATTATTGGGGAACTTTCATAATCAACTTTCTTAATTTATTCAACTTAGAGAAAAGTAATTAGAGATATAGAATAGAAAGGTGAGAGGACTTTCTTTGTAATGTAAGTGTTGTAAGTTTATTTTTAATGTAAGTGAAGGTTTATTGTTTTATAACAGACCTTATTTTTAAAGCAGCTTTATACTTATGTGAGAATTGATGAGATAGTTTCCATATAGAAAATGCCCAAATATACTAGCACATAGTTTCCCCTACTGTTAACATCTTACATTAACAAGATATATTTGTCACAATTAATTAACAAATGTTGATTCAGTATTGTTAACAATAGCTCACATTTTATTCAGATTTATTCTTTACTTAATGTCATTTTCTGTTCCAAGATGTAGTCTTTTAAAAAGTTTACTTTTTGCACTTACTTTATATTAAACCAAAGTATTTCAATCTCATCACGTATATTTCCTGCGTAAGTCCTAGAACCATCTTTTCTCCAAAGATCCCTTATTTTCTTTATTAGATAATCATATTAACAACCAAGATTTTACACTAAGTGTGCTCATTGCCATTGAAGACTCACTTACATAGCATATATACATATACATATACATGTTGCATAAATATATATGCAAATACTAATCTAGGTATTTACATATTTATAAATATTTGTATCTGTAACCACCTTTAATTTTATTATCCTAACCATGATTCCTTACTAGTGTCTCAACTCTAAGCCATTAATAAATGTATCATTCTAGCCTCTTCCCCTTAATTATCTATAAATTTCCGCTCCAACAATGAGAAACCTGGTTTCACCCGGCATTATCCATTGACTTGATTATTCCTAATGGTATTTTAAGTGTGTTTAATATTATTTGATAATTTTAATTTTTTTCCTAATACCATATAAACCTTTTATTCTGAGACTATATGTTTTACTACTTAATCTTTTCAGCTGTTTTTCACTTCTTATCTTTTGTCATATTAAATTTAAGGATTCAGCCTGACTCATACATCTATTGTTCAAGTCTCTATTCTTTTTGATGTTATTTTCTAAAATTCTTTGTGTACACATTGAAATGCATCAGGTGATCTCTTACAATCAGTATGTATTTCAATATAATAGGACTTCGAGTAAAATACTTTGCAGAGCTTTGAGCAATTTACAATAATTCTACTATCTCATATGTATTTTAGGTGTGTATGTGTGAATGTGTGTGTTTGTGCTATCATCTAACATCCATTTTTGTAAACCTCTGATTATACATTAAAACTCACCAGATATGATAACAACTCTTTGAAATTCAAAGAAAAATCTATCAAATTCCTAATATAAGTTCCTTTAACATGACTTTATGTAAAATATATTGAGAATTTAACTGATGGCATATTTTTGTTTGAGACAATATGACTCTTTTTATTACTCATTTTAGCATATACTTTCAGGGATAAGTTATATTGAAAAATAGATTCTGCCTGTTTTGATTAGCAATACTATAATTAGCAATACTATAATGCACTGTAGATTTTGTACATGTCAGATGATTTCTTATTTGAAGACGATAATTATGATCAATGATAGTAAAATCGGTGTTTAATCTTATTTTTTTCATTAGTAGGTAGAACTTCCTTTAGCTCCATTCATGCTTCATTGACCAGTAAGGGGATATTCACAAAGACTCTTGGTTTGATCAAACTTCTTTCATACTCTTGAATTTTCTCTTAGGCACATCTATGCACCTGCTTGTAAAATTTAGTTTGAAGAAGAACACTGCCAGGTCACTTTATCAAGAACTTCCCAACACTTGATATCTGATCATCCTCCATATCTGATCAAGCTTCTCATCCTTCAGTATCCCTCAGATGATGTCTCATTACCGTGGTTTATCTTCAGTACAAATCCTATCAGGTTGGTTCAACTAGAATCCCACTAACTCTTGAGGTTCATGTTTAGTAATTTTCCATGCACTGACATGCCTTACCACCCCCTGCTCCTTGATTGTAAATTTCCAATTGTGTATGCTGTATTCTGAGTTGAACCCAGTCTCTCCTCTACTGCAAAATCTAATACTATGCAGTAGTACTGATTAAAATTCACCTTACTACTTGCTTTAACAAGTGCCATTGAATAATTTTTCTTTAACAGTACAAAAAGCCTGATCATGGAACTGATTTGTAATCTGTGACCAAAAACTAGTGAAATTCTTACCAGTGCTTCAGAATCAGCAGACCCATTTAAATAGCTTCAATACCAAAGTAGACATTTCAGTTGTGACTTATTTTGCATAGTTTCACACTTTCTCATTGCTGCATATTTCATATTGTAAAAGTTATTTGTGTATTGATACTGTTAAAATATTTTGGAATAATACTGTCTAATATTTGTAAGATTCATATAATTTGCAGATCCATGGTCTAGTATATTTTGGTCGCATTGGTATTCATTAGAATTGTCATGTTTTCTATAGCTATTGTTTATCACAAAATTACCCTCTTACTCTTTGTAGTCTGAACTGAATTTGACCAGTTGGTTTAAATGGAGGCTGATTCTTGAGAATGAGTCTGTTTATTGGGGTTCTACTGTGTCTTTTTGAATAAATTAATATATCTAAAAGTTATACGGAATTTATGTTATTTTGTACTAGTTTACGTGTTATTCATATATTAACACATCTAATCTTCACAAGAACTCAAGGAGTTTGGTTCTATTATTTTATAGGTGAGGATACTGATTAATAGAAAGAACTTTAAAATTATTTAAGATTGCATAGCTAGACAGTGACAAACAAAATTTGACCTTACTTTGCACCTAAATATGAATTCTCTGCTTAGTCACTATATTTGCTATATGTCACCTGAAATATGATCTCTTACCTTCTGGTCTATTTCATTTGAAGGATAACAGGAACTTAAAAAAAAAACTGTGAAATAATATCAGTAGATAAACCTGGATTTTTATGATTTTCTCTCATGGAAAAAGTGGTAGTATCAGTATTACAGCAAAATTTAGGTATTTCACCTTCACCTTGTTGGTGCCTTTACAAAATACATAGTTCTCAAAATATTAATGCTCCTGAAGCTCAAAGGTATTGGTAGTTAATTTTATTATACAGACTTAAAAACAAATATAAGTAGGATAAAGTTTTGGTGCCAAACATACCTGAAATTTCATAGACTTCACTGGTAGGAGACAGAACATCTTCTTAGTTATGAGTTCTCGTGGCAGCAGCTTCTGGGCATATGTTTTGACTGAGGATAAATGACACAATTTAACCTAAATAGAAAACTAAGATATATTTAGCGAAGAGAGCTTCCATTGATTGTATGTGTTATATTGTACCATGACCCAAATACTGTTTTGGTTCTGTTTTATATTTCAATAAATTTATTTTTTTGAATAATATGATATTTATGGGAAAGTTTCAAAGACAATTCAGAATTACTGTACACATCTCACTTAGTTTCCTCTATTATTAACAAGTTGCGTATCTATGGCACAGTTATCAAAACTAAGAAACGAATGCTGGTTCACTATTGATTAACCACACTCCAAGATGTATTTGATTTTTATTAATAATTACTTTTCCATTATTGTACTGTTTATTATCTAGAATCCAGTCGAGAGTATTGGGTTTATTTGCATTTAGTTACTGTGTCTCCCCAGTTTCCTCTGGTTTGTGACAGTTTCTCAGTTGTGTCCTTTTTATTTTTCCTTTTACTTTGATAGTCTTGGGGTAAAATGGCCAAGTATCCTGTAGAATGCCTCAATCTGAGTTTCTTCAATGTTTTATTTGTTTGCTTTTTTTTTTTTTTTTTTTTTTTTAAAGACTGAGTCTCGCTCTGTCGCCCAGGCTGGAGTGCGGTGGCGCGATCTCGGCTCACTGCAAGCTCCGCCTCCCGGGTTCACGCCATTCTCCTGCCTCAGCCTCCCGAGTAGCTGGAACTACAGGCGCCCGCCACCACGCCTGGCTAATTTTTTTGTATTTTTAGTAGAGACGGGGTTTCACCGGGTTAGCCAGGATGGTCTCGATCACCTGAACTCGTGATCCGCCCGTCTCGGCCTCCCAAAGTGCTGGGATTACAAGCGTGAGCCACTGCGCCAGGCCTTGCTTATTTGTTTTTTATAATTAGACTGGGGTTATGAGGTCTTGGACAGAATACCACATAGGTGAAGTAATCTCATCATGGCCTATTATAGTATCTACTTGATGGCCCCCATAATGTTTCATCACCTGTGTGTGCTTGCCAGGTATTTCTTCTTTAAGTTGCTATTTGTAGCTTTTCTAGCCTTCTCTTTGGAAGTGAATCATTAAGTTTACTCTAACATCAAAAGTGGAGAGTGGGGAGATAGGAATTGTGTTCTACCTTCTGGAATAAGAAATATCTGCATATATTATTTGCAATTATTTTGTAAGAAAGATTTATCTCTTCTTTGCCATACATTTACCAAAGTATTCTTTAAACACTCAAATAAATTCATTTTTAAACCATCATATTAGCAATAATTTCTATCACTTGTTGCATTGGTTTCTCAATTTAATTAACCAAATTAAAAACAAATAATTGTGAACATTATTGCTTTTCGTATATGATATATACTTAAGAACATTACTCCATTATTGTAAAATTGCCATTTGCAGTTTTCCCCGTAATTTGAGACTGGTATGTGATAATAAAAATTCAGTGAAAAGACACTTATAAAACACACAAATAGTATACCTAAAATACATATGACTGAACATACACTTGTGTACACATAACATTACAATAAAGATATGCATTTTCAGATGAGTTCTGTAGTGCTGATGCTTACAGATACCCTAATCTCCCCAGGTGGAAAATGTCTGCTTTGTATTACTTCTGATACTACCAAGGTAGAGTGGCGGTAAAATAAATGCTGCTAGAAAATTCAATGACTGTAAACAAAACAAACAAAAGACCAGAATAAGTCTGGATTTGCTTTATTTTGCCCATGATTTTTGTTTAAACACTGTATATAGATTTCTTTCATTTAAGGATGTTTAGGCTCTATCATATTTGAGAAAGGCACTTAAGTTAAACTGATAAAAATGAAATTACTGTCTCAAAGGCACTGATGCAAGTTTAACTAGTATATTTCTCGTGCTGATTGCCTTCAGTATAGGATTTTGAGAAATGATAAAGTTGTACTTCACAATCTCTGAAATTTTAGGGAAAGTTTTTATTATTTATCTATCTATGATAATAATACAAATGTGTAATTCTGAGTTAGGCTTTGAAAAAATTACTCATTTGTATGTTTTCTTACATAGTTGGAACCTATATAACTTTCTGTTATATTCAGTCTTTAGATTTGTAACTAGAAAGGATACTAAATAACATTCTTAGAAAGAATCAGTTTTAACTAATTCTTCATTAGATAGGTAAAAAAAGAGTAAAAACCTTTCCCTAAAATTTCAGAGATTAATTGTGAAGTAAGACTTTTACCCAGTGGTCCTTATAAAGACAAAGTTGAGTCAATTCAGTGCTCTTGTCTGAACACAGAAGGATGTACTTCTATTGGTGATGATACCAAATTATCTGGTCTTCAGATATACTCACATATTAAAATATTTTTAAACATAAAGACAATGAAAGTAAAATTTTTGAAAATTAACTAATTATATAAATGTATTTTGAAAGGGCAAAGTCATCTTATTCTAACTTTTAAGTGATGAGAATCCATTGATTCAAACTTCTTACTCAGAACTCCACTAATGTTTCACCTAATCCTCCCATTTTGCAGATAGGAAGTGCACTGAGAAATATTAAATTAATAACCTCAGCTCACCTAAGCTCAGTTCACAAAATCAGTTTTACTTAGTTGAGTTTTAACTTTGGTTTAGAGCCCTAAATTTAATTCTGTGATAGTCTCTATTTGTCAGCCCTTACATGTGAAACGTCTAGGTAGGGTATAGTTTGTATAAGCAATTTTATAGAGTAATGTATGTGTGAGTCATGGGGTTACTGAACCAGTCAGGAATTATAAGACTGCTGCTATATAGAGAGAATCAATTAAAAACAAAAAGGAAGCAAAGCAATGTGAGATAAACAGAGTAGATGTGTATGACATTCTTAAAAGCATCTGTTTTAAGATATCCTGCTGGTAGAAAAATTAAATTAGATTCAAATATAATTGTGACATATTTTAGAATACGAAATGTCATTCTGTTTGTCAGGCAGGCTTATGTTACTTGCATTCACAGCAATTATTATTATTATTTTTGATTCAAGATGATCTAACAAATAGTCTGTCTTACCCCAATACCAATGCTGAAATTTTAAATATTCGATAGAAAATATTAATCTTTATGAAGGTGTTTATATCCTTGGAATGGAAAATTTTTCTCCCCATAGACAAATTGCTGATTGTTTTCCTCTCCTATCTTTGGGGAAATGTGAGATTTAAATTTACTTTTATAATCATGTTTTTTCAAATTTATCTGCCTTATAAGGAAAAAATAATAGAAGAAACTGGGATTTTGAAAATAAATACAATAAAAGACCCATCAACTAAAGAGTGAATTATGTGCATTTGAAATGCTGCATCATGTTTATTTGAAACGTAAATGATTCTGTCATATCAGATCATCTGAAAAACTGACAAAAATATATCCAAAGTAAGCCTGTGTAAATATATTTATAAAATTTATAATGGAAATATATAAATATACTTATATGTATAATGGAAATATTTAGTCATACAAAAATATAAATATGACTTAATTAAAATATTTCAGAGTTGATAAAATATTTTAGGCTTTTAAATTTTACTTTGAACCAGTATACATAGCTATCTTTTTAACATTTAAAGGGAAAATATCATTAGCTTAGCATTTTGCAGGTTTTCAAGCTCTACAAGGGGAGAAAATGAAAACAAAACCAGCATAATTTTGTATTTGGAGTGCAATGATTAGGACATAAATTATAATTACAAAATAATTAGGTTATATTACATCATATTATTGAAAGAAGGCTTCTAAACCAGTCTGATTGGTGATTGCTTGTTTGGTTTTAACAGTAACACATTTTCAAAACTATAGAAAATAAAATATTTAACATCTTACCGTCTAATTAATATGCTCATCTTTAATATTTTGGAGACATCTCACTTGTATTATAACAAACACTGAAATTGAAGTGTCCAGAGTGAACCTTTTCATGTTAGTAGCTTTGCAACTGTTTCAGAACACTAAGGCTGATGGCACTTCGCCATCTGACCATCCGTTTTACTTTGGGAGCAATGCAGTGATGGTACTGTTGTCGTGAGAGCCTTTCATTTAGTATTTTATAATTTTATGCTTATATTTTCCCTGTACTAATGTATTTAAAATAATTTAAAAACTTTAATATTGTAAAAATTTGGAGGATTTGTGTGTGTGTGTGTGTGAGTGCAAGAATTGGATATTATGTCAAAAATTGTACAGTCATCCCTGAAGTAGATGTCAATATTAAGAACTGAGTAAATTATTTCATAATATAGACTTACTTATAAAAGACAAAGTATTTCTAACATATGAAAACAGCATGATTATGAATGAAAAAGAGATAAAACATATGAAGCTCGCTTCTTACTAAGGTATAATAACACTTAAAAGAACAAAAGTGCTGGCAAGACACACAAAGACAGATTTTCTCATTTCCTTCCTTGGCTTTAGGGAGAAAATGTACTGTACAGTGGAACCCTGGCTTTGGCTGGACCCAAGACCGTATGTTAAATTAATTAATGTAAATTATATTGCTTTTTTAAAAAAGCATATATTCCATTTCCCATCATTTAAACCTCTGAACTCACATATATACAGAACATGGACAAAACTACACACTGTTTCCTACTACTAATAATAAGCAACTAAAAGATAATCCCTTAGTAGATAAACTCATCCTTAAACAAATTTAACTCATATTAAGTGAGCAAACAGATGGAGCTGGCGTAGTGCCTTAAAGGTCAGGAAATTCAGACTTGGTAGAGCTGATGAGGTGGAAAGGCAAGAGTATACCAGAGTCGAGGATTGTCCCGAGAAAAACTCTTTGATTCTATCATCATCTTCGGTAATGATCTTGGATTCTTAATGGAAAGTTTCGAACAAAATCCATATTTTATGATGATATATGATGAAAAGAAGAGCCAAATCATAGAATACAAAAGGGACTGTGTTGATTAAACACCTGCAGTACTTAGTATTCCTCTTTCTTACTTTACAAGGTTCTGCCTGTAAAGCCAGGAAAATGGATTAAAAACAGATTTATGAAATAGTTGATATTATTACTTTGTAATTTTAACTATAGTGTATCATAGATAAAAGATTTGGTATTTTAAATATATTTTGGATTTGAAGAAAGCATATATAAAGTTATTAAAATTAGTGAGCAACCTCTCTGGGATTGAATTTTGTTTTAACATTTCATGTTCTTGGAAACACAAAGTGTAAGTGTAAGGAGTTACTGGTTCTGAGAGTGTAAACACAAAAAAGGCTCTTCCCTTTATTTGCTTTGATGTCTCTTTATTATTCATTCTGTTGAACCAATGATTAAAAGTGAAGTTGTTGGCAAGAAAAGCAGATGGTTTTTACAGCAAATAATTATGTTTCCCCATAAAACACATAGAAAATGGGGATTTGGTGGACAACCTCATGTATTTGGTTTAAAATATTCTGTTGTCAAATCCATTTTACTCAACTAGCAGAATAGGATTTGTGTTAGCAATAAGATAATCATCATTCCTTTTCTCATTCTTCATGTCCACAGTTAGCAAATGCCTTTTTAATATGAGAAAATCAAAGAAGTAAGAAAAATAGTTGAGATAAAAATGTTAGTATTGTTATGGGATCTTTGGGTGTTGCTTTTCTGGCCAGAAATCTCTTTGACCGATGGTGCCTTTTCCCAAGTGCTTGTCCTCCACCCAGGAAGAATGAGGTATGCAGACAAGTGGAGGGAAAGCAAGATGAAGAGGAGCTTTACTGAATGTTAGAAAAGCTCTGAGGAGACCTGCAGTTGGGTAGCTCCTCTCTGTAGGCAGGTCAGACCTTCAAGTGTTCAACTCTCAGCAGAGAGGAGGCCCTGGAGAGGCAAGAGACCCTGCCAATTTTCCATAGGCGAGCCTGTAAGAGGCACCCTATTCTAGTCTGTGGGACTGGTAGCCCGGCCCCCAGCTTTCAGGCCCTCCCTGGCCTGAAGGTAGGGCCTCACTGGAGACCCATCCCCTTTTTAATATGAGAAAGTCAAAGAAGAAAAAATATGTGAGATAAAAATGTTAGTATGACTAATTTTCCTTGATTATTTACGTATGACTCTTTTATAAACCCATAAATGAAACAGTATGCCTTGTGTTTAAGAGAGAACAATCTTCTCTATTATTAGTCATTTATCTGAATTTACTTTTTTCTTTCAGGGTCTACTTTAGCATGCAGTTAAGAATCACAACTATGATGTCAATATGTGTTTCTGGACTTCAGAAGAACTTAATACCACCTCAGTATACCTTGCCTTGTAGGTTATCAATAAATATTTCATATCATTTTGTTTCTTTGAGTCTTAGAAATATGTCATGTGAACTATTAAGATAGTCATAGGAATATGATATTATGTGAGAGAATTAAATAGCTTTTCCTGAATAATTTTGTCATGATAAAAGTCACTTAAAAAGCTGTGAGCAGATCTCATTTCCCATAGCACTACCAGCTCCCGTTCCTTTTCTCCACAATTTTGCTTTGAAAATCCATTATGTATCTGTATATTTTTATCAGTGTAGTTTGAAAAAGTGGCTGGTCGTTCTTCACTGATGAAGCGTATTGAAAGTCATTTCTACTTACCAGATTCAGTAATTGGGCAAGAACAAATAAAGTACATAGAAATCAGTGTCTCAGCAAAGAGACTGGTATAAGTTTTGCAAACACTGTCACTACTTTGTTTTATTTTCATGTGTACATCCACAAGATTGAACAAGTTGAGCACTTGATGCAAAAAATATAATTTGATTCTTTTCCTTTCTCTGAAGATTTCCTTGCTATCTCTGCATGGGTTAGATACCAAAGCGTTCTCACTGGTCATATTGTAAAAAGTCCTCCTGTAATCGCAGCACTTTGGGAGGCCGAGGTGGGTGGATCACGAGGTCAGGAGATCGAGACCATCCTGGCTAACACAGTGAAACCCTGTCTCTCCTAAAAATACAAAAAATTAGCTGGGCGTGGTGGTAGGCGCCTGTAGTCCCAGCTACTCGGGAGGTTGAGGCAGGAGAATGGTGTGAACCCCGGGGGCAGAGCTTGAAGTAAGCCGGGATTGCGCCACTGCACTCCAGCCTGGGCAACAGAGCGAGACTCCTTCTCAGAAGAAAAAAAAAAAAAAAAAATCCTCTGGTCACAGTGGCCCACAGAATATTCTCAGTATATAATTAACAAGGTTTTAGCATAAGCCAAACTTACAAAATTGTGTTCATTGTTCTGGAGTACTTTAGGATCCTTTACAGCAGTAGTAAAAGAGAGACCTTTGTAATTAGAAAACATAAATTTGTTTATGGAAATTCAACTTTATTCTCTACATTTGCTAATTTCAGGATGGTACTTGGGCAACTGAGAAGAAAATGGGGGTGTAATTACAAAGACACTTCTTGAATAATACCATCTTGAAGTGTTGACATTCTGTAGGCTCAGCAGGGTTCAAAGCTGACACATTGTTTCATTAAGTGCTTTGGTGGGATAAAGTCTGGTTTTCTAGGAAACAGCCCCTGAGATGAGGTAGTCTACCTAATGTATTGATGCTTTTTTTTTGTTTTTTTTTGAGACGGAATCTCGCTCTGTCTCCAGGCTGGAATGCAGTGACGCGATCTCGGCTCACTGCAACCTCCGCCTCCCGGGTTCAAGCGATTCTCCTGCCTCAACATCCAGAGTAGCTGGGACTAAAGGCTCCTGTCACCACGCCCAGCTAAGTTTTGTATTTTTAGTAGAGACAGGGTTTCACCATGTTGACCAGCATGGTCTCGATTTCTTGACCTTGTGATCCTCCCACCTCAGCCTCCCAAAGTTCTGGGATTACAGGAGCGAGCCACCGCGCCCGGCAATGTCATGTTTCTTACCCTAATCAATAATGAGTCTCAGCCCCTGATCACTTCTCAGGCTGTGGCTCTGGCACTTTTCTCTTTCTGGTTAGAAGTGAGTTGAAGAAGAGCAAGAGAATGTTCAGAGAAACATGGGAGTAACTAATATCTCCCTTCTCAAATTATGTATTAGCAGAATTACTTTTTCTGTTGGCCATGATCAACTAGTACTGACAGAGTATTATTACTTATATTGTTCGTGTTGTTATTCATTTTCTTTGATTATTCTTGATGCTTATTATTGTTAAAGCAAATATTTTAATTATTTTCTATTATTTCCCATTTTCTTAATTTCTGTTACTTTTAAATATTTATTTTTTTCATGTACCTAATACATTTAGTTTGTTCTTTTAGCTTCCAAACAAAATTATCAACATAGAAAAGACAACACAATTAAAAAAATCTACAGTAGGGCATCAAACAGTTTCTGCACTTGAAATAGCAACAAATGTTAGCATAATTATTAATATGTTTTTATGTCTTTGTGCCACATACTGTGCTATGAATCACTTCATCACACAGTAGGGTAATTTAATGTTATGTTTAGGCTGAGTGCAAGGAAACTAGGAATATCCAATAAAGGAATGGGTATTTACATCTGAAAGTATTGGGAAAATCAGGAGATGACTGTATTACCTAGAAACATGGAAGGAAATTATAGGAAAAGGGCAGAGCACAACTAAACACACAAGCAAGGAAATAAATGGCTTACTTTGAGAATAGCTAGCAGCTTTTCTTATTAACACCATATGATCAAATTATAATGAAAATTTTTAAAATGTAACAATGCAGGTGTTTACGAAAATAAAAAGGGTAAAGAAGAACTGAAAATTTTTGTCTCGATTGTTAGCCTCCGTGAAAACTGTTAGATGTTAAATTTCACAAAAGGATATGGAGAAGAATATTCATTATAGAAAACAATAAAACAGGAGTTAAAGGCCAAAAATTCAAGCTAAAAACTGTTATAAGAAATGGATAAACAGTATTGTACTCTATGAATCTATGTCCTTATCTATGCAACTATATTTTGTAGAATGCAAGTGGAGGTTCTGATGCTTCTTATCCAGCCTCCTTTACCCTTCCTCCACCTTTCTTCCTGTCAGTAAAAGGAAAACTCTATTTTAACTCAGAAATATTTTGCTCAGAAAAGATCTTAGAAAAAAATCTCAGAAGTGTTTTTGTTTCAAAAATCTGTTTCCTCAAAAACTTAAGTGTAAATACAGTGAAAAGTATTAGATCCTCTTTTACTTCTGATTAAACATTTTTTTAACTTATAAAACTAATTTGTAATAGTATTCAAACTATCCAAAATGTTCAATATGCTTTTTTATTAAAATAGGTGGCATATGAAGAATTTACCATAATGAAAATATCTTAAATTGTTGATTGAAAATACCTCACTAATTATTATGTTACAATGTCTGTGACTGTAAAAATGAGATAATTTCACTAAATAATTGAAATAGACTTTGCTAGCTCTAATTGATGTGAGTCAATGCATTTTTGTTATTATGAAATAAAAACCCAGTACATTTGTAGAAATATAAAAATGATTTCTAAATTCTGTAATTAAATTACATCTAATGAAATTAAACATTTTATTTTATTATTTTTATCTTAATTGGCCAAATGTTACATTTCTCTAATGCAGTAATAGGTGGGCTAATGGAAAACACCTTATATGCAAATATCTGTCCTTAATGTTTTAATGGACAACTATACATTTTCCAAGTGCTAAAATAGGAAAAAAATGTATTAGAAACTTTGAACCTGGTCCTCAAAGTAATACCTGACTATTGCTGGTAGCCAGTATCACCACATAATTCTGTTGTGCAATGAAACTCAGAAAGTTTTGTAGTTGTTGTTTTTAAGACATCGTAAATCTAAATATGTAGGGTAAACCACTATGCTTCATGGCCAGGGAATTAGGCATACTGGTTAAAAGTCTTTTAGTAGTAATAAGACATCTATATATCTCTCAAAATAATACCACCAACTCCCTCGCACACTACTTTCTTAAGTCAACATCCTCTCTTCTACATTAAAAATGGAAAATAAATATTCTCTTTTAAATAATTTCCATGTGATCTGCTCAGAAGTTGTACCTCAGCCTGTTGTTTCCTCATTTGTGTTCTTATCTGTTGTGAACTATGGCCCACTTGGTTTCCGGTCACCACTTTAACAGAAGCATCTATCTCACTTTTTGCAAAGGGTGAAGGGAAAGGCAATATAAACAAACCACATTGCATTCTACTGACTTCTACTTTTTCTCCACAGCAATACTGAACAACGCTATGTGAGTGAGTCTGACAGAATAATTAAAGTTTAATTATGCAATAAGTATATGTGTAATAAATATACTGGGGTGCAAAAAATACCATATCTACTTATTTTTGAGACTGAATTTAAGCTCTGCCATGCAACTATTCTTCAGGATGGGATGAAATTCATTCTCAGTCATGAACAATGGTTTAAATGAGGATGATTACTATTTTTTATAATCCTACTTAAGACTCCAGAAGAAAGACTATTCTTCAGTTCACCACACTAGGTCCGCAATGATGTGTTCATTGACCCAGGTACCTTGAGATAGCTTTTCTCCTCCCTTTGACTCTAGCTTAAATTCAGTGATCATTTTAGAGCTGAGGGATGGGACACCCTGAGTGCAGTCTCCAGGAGACAGCACCACAGTCATTCTTGGGGACTCAAGAAAGGATTTGACCCATCAAGTCTTAATTCTCTTCCTAGTTCCTGTTGAACACTTTTTAGACACCCATCCTCCTGCTTGGGCAAATTCTGCCGAAGTTTGTCTTTAAAAAAGACATTAATATCTTAGGGTAGAAAGTGTCTTCCTTGGATTAAAGACATTAACACATCTCTAAGGAAAGAAGATAGAAGTTCATCTCTTCTTCCTTCCACGCACCCAGAGCAATGGGAACAAATCAAAATTAATATATCAGTTATCATTCTGCCACATATGATTTGTCCCATTGTCTAGCATGAAGAAAGCAAAAGTGTATGTGAATAGAAAGGGGAATCTAAATGTTTTACCATTCTCATTGATCAAAGACTTGCACAGAGAAATGTAAAATTTTAATTGTTTATTTTTTCCAACTTTTATTTTAGATTCAGGAGGTACATGTGCAGGTTTGTTACAAGAATATTTTGCCTGATGCTGAGATTTGGAGTATGAATGACCACATAACCCAGGCACTGACTATAATTCCCAGTAGTTTCATTTTCAACTCTTGCCCTCTTCCTCCCACCCCCCCAATAGTTCCCAGCTTCTATTGTAGCTATTGTTATATCTATGTGTACTCAATGTTTAGCTCCCACATATAAGTGAGAACATGCAGTATTTGATTTTCTGTTTCAGCGTTAATTAGGATAATGGTGTCTAGCTACCTTCATGATGCTGCAAGGGA